GTTGGCGTGGGCTTGTCCGAAGGTGGGCGGCTGAGAGGTCGGCTTGTCTGAGGTGGGAGATAGAGGAGGAGTAGACGACTTGTCAGAGGTCGGCGACGGCGTCGACTTGTTCTCGTCGCTGCTCTTGTTGTCCGAGCCAGACGTGGGCAGCGGCAGCTTGTCGTTGCCATTGCTTGTAGGAGAGTCTCCGCCGCTTAGTATCTGCCGCCGGTGACGGGCATGACGGCTAGGCGGCTGCTGGCCAACCGCAACGAGGGCCAGCAGGGCGACGCAGAGGGCGAGGAACGAGAGCCGCGACGTCCACCGCATCGTGATGTGCTAGTATCGATTCTCCTTCTTCGCCGGCTGCGGCCTCAGCTTTCTTCGACTGCTGAGGATGGATGGAGATATTGACTCCCTGTCGACCGTTATGCGATCCGCCTGCTTCCGCGCAACGCCCTTCTGCCGCTATTCTATGAACGAGTGTCGAGGAATTCGAGAGTAGCGAGAGTAGCGAGAGTGGTGATAGTAATGTCTGTAACGAGTGACCAAGTCTTCTTCTTCTTTTTCTTCTTCTTCTGCGTCTTCTGCGTCTTCCGTCGTCCTTTTTTTGTTGTTTCTTCGCAGCGAAAGAAGCAAAAGGAGAAGAAAAAAAATCGTCCGAAAGCGGAAAAAGTGAGACAGCAGGAAGGATGAAGGATCACGGGGCCTGATGACTCAGCAGTACCTGGCGTTACGACGGGCGTATCGGATGGCGTATCCGTCGTTTCAAGGCGGGTGCCCTGATTGGTCCTTGGCGGGTGCCTGGCCCGTCGACTATCGTTACCGCCCGTACCGTACCTTACCGCCCTGCATGCAGGTGTTGCGTAGGTTAGTTGCTGACTAAGACGGTGTTGCATCGTGGAAAAAGCAAGAAAATGCGAGAAGCGACAAAAAAGGAAAAAGACGACGACGATGAATCGGATGAAGTGGACGAAGAGACGCAGAAGATGCTAATAACGATGACGGATGACGGCGACGATGGAGATTCTTGCATAGCCACAGGGCATGGGAGATTAGATCCTGCAATGGCACGGTGTGAGATGTGCAGTCAACTTCAGCATGCAACCCTCCTGGCACGCAGGTGGCCGTGCTGCTGCTGCTGCCTGAGAGCCACCAAAGCTGAACCTGGACGGGACTCCGTGTTTGATCTCCAGCTCACAGGGCGCCAAACGGTGCCTGGTTGATTTGATTGACAGTGGCTCGTCCTTGATCTTGACCCTATCAAATATCCTCAAAGCCAGGTCCTCTCGGCCAGCTGAAACTGCAGTCATCCAACTTGTCTGCGTACAGGGGCGGAATCCTGCATACCATATGCAAGTACTCCGTATGTCCCCCAAAAAAAGCCAAAATCTGTTCTAGTTATGGATAACGCCCCTTTTCGTCATTCCAAGCAGATTGAGAGAATGTGCTTGGGAGCAGGTGTTAAAATATGTCTATTTACCGCCAGATTCTCTATATCTGAATCCAATGGAAGGGTTCTTTGCTTAAAGGCTTTTACTAAGCGAAATTGGTAAATCTATGAAGAAGACCCCCTGGCCAATGGTTTTGATACTTTTCTTGACTGGTGTGCTGATATTGTAGGCGACAAAACACGCAAAAAGGTCATTTTCGTCACTTAGGTCTGACTATTGATGTTTTATAGTTAATGGTCAGTTTTTCTCAAGCCTGATAGCTCACCAGACGGAATGAGCGCCCCAGAGCGCGCCGTACATACATCACTGCATCTTGATTCTTATTATAATACAAGCTGCATTTTGTTCGGCATTGTCTATCAAATCAACCAAGGACTGAGTTGGCAACATGATGGGGCGCTGTGGGGAGTCATACACTCCATATTCGTGTAAGAGAGTCTGTCCAATCACTATCTCACTTGCGGCATCGCCAACGGCGTCCAAAGCGCTAGCGCCTTAAATATAGCCATACTTCAGAAGCTCAAGTGCACTCGGGCGTAGCTCTGAAACCGGATTAAGAGCAGCATAGACCGTCTCAATATCCTTTTCCGGGATATCCTTATTAATGAGCTTTACTACCTAGTAATTAAGCTCGGTCCTTCTTTTATCTTTTAGTAGGAGTAGCTATTGCGTATCTAGGTCCGAGTTATAAATTTATAATATAGTATCGCGTGAAGATCAAACTTTTAAGCTATAACTACTTGGATAGTATTCTCCTTATCTACTAACGTCTCTTTGATCTTTAGTAAGTTAGATATACCAGGTTCTTTGAAATTAACATAAGCTTAAAGTAGATATAGGTACAATATAAAATATATTAATATAGTCTACTACAAGAAGAGCTCTAGGCATGAAAGGATACTACTATACCCTAAGACTATTTATCTGTTATAGTTATCCAGGGTTTATTAAAGTATACCTCGGGAGTTCAATATATAATTACAATTTACGGATATAGAGCCCTCAAAGGGTGGCCGTACTAGTTTTGAGTTAGTTAACCATTTGCGGCAGCAAGATAGATAGTCATAGAGTAAAAACATACCTATCCCAAGATTAGCAATCTTGATCACCAGAAGTTTACCGGAGCCTAGAGATTTATTGTTAAACCCTTTAATAAGGATATTCTCTATCTTCAAGTCTAATATATACTTAGTATCTATTAATATTCAAGACCTGTTCTAGGTGATAAACCGGTATACACAATATTATTGTGATATATAGTACTCAGCCCGATTGCGATAGATCTCATAACAGATCGAATCTCTCCCAAAGAAAAGGGACCCCGTAATTATGCAGTCCATAGCGACTTCTCGAATGCCTCAAGAACCATAACTGGTTATACCTTCTTCTTGCTTTATACCATGACCAACGACGACGATACACGACGTCTGTTATTGGCGACAAGTTTGGTACCTTTCAAGCTCTTCAATACGTCGGTCACGACCAGTTTGACTACGACACACTACAACGTATTACCTACGTCGTCAACTACGTCGATAAAGACATACCAAGGCCACAGCCTCCTTTAGTCCCTGTAGATTGGCTAATAGACCGTTCTACGCTGCATATCGCAGTACGCGACTTTCTCGACCTCACTAAATATCTTGTTGACGACCCTGCCTACCAAGCTTAGAAGGCACGGACCAGCCACAACGACGATAGTCGCATCGAGCCATCACGCTCCTTTCTTCTATATCCCGTGACCAGATGACGGACTCAGACTCAACACCTCAACAGCAGCAGCAGGACCTACAACCTCCTGCGGCGCCACGAACCAGACACATACGCTGACACCGTTCAGTCACTCCAATTCCTCTCCCAAATATTCCACAGTCGCCAGCACCTTCGCGCGACGACATGGCTCACAACAACAAGCTCCGTATCACAAGGACGCAGGATAACATCGAGCCTCGGGCTAACACAAGGAGAGAGGATGACATGGTATCATCAATATCTCGTAGCAATCAAACACTGTGTCTTCATGTTGGGCCAAGCATTGCTATATAAAGTACGCTGCTGAAGAGCATTTTAAGGTTGAGCCTTAACTCTCCCAAGACCGAACTTAACCTGTTTGCGACCGGGGTATAACTATTAAAAGAAGTGTAATAAAATATTGAACTATCGGATATGCGAGGCAAAAGGCCAAGCCAGATATAGTGAGATCAGATAACTGACTAGTTAATATCCATATCCTGACACTTCTCAAACAGACGCCAAGATATCATAGATTGGAAAGGAAATTGCAAAATTGTGTAAAACAATTAACAGGAGGCGTTCTAGAAACTTCGTGTGAACTCACTTTTCCATCCTCCCCAAAGGTTGAAGGTTTTTGTCAGTCAGAGGTGCTATCGCGTCAAACAATGCCCTCGAGGCGTCATCATTAGAGATGCTGGTGGCCGTGGCATACGATTGCACACTCTGACGGAGTTCGTTTCAAGTCTCCTTTTTATCTAGAAAAAAGAGACTATCAGCATCACCCACACCTACTTGAGAAAGAAGGTATACTCACTGATGTCAGTAACAGTGGACCATAAGCCCCATATCAACTTTGAGTTAACCTGCCGAAGCTCCTCAGTCGAGGTGCTTAGTTGGTCTTGATTGTTATCCCCTGGGGTATGAGGGTCCTGCTTCCGCGGCTTGAGTATCCTCTCAATCTGTGGTCGAAAGGTGGAATAAACCAATTTATTGATGTAGTGAATATTTCTGTTCATGGCATCAATATCTACTTTGGTTGAAGATTCATTCCCACCAATGCCGGCCAGTCTCAAGCGAATTAATTGGTTGAAGTGGCAGGAAAGTGACAAGAAGACAAGAGTGGCTAGGATATGTCCAATATACTGTCTTCGCTTCTTGCATATTAGATTATCCAAGTTCTTGGATATTTTGCTAATCAAGTTCTCCAGGACGCTGCGTGCCTTGGACTTGAATTGGTACTCCACTTCGATACGCTCCTTTTCGCTTTCAATACCCATCCCACTCACTTCCAACGGCGTCGACATCAGATAGATCGCAAAAAACAGCCGCACCGAGCAGTGCAGCATCATATTTGGGTTGTTTACTTTATCTTCGTCTCCGATAGATGGTATATGTAGTGCCGTGCTTGCAAAACTACAAACCATATCTAGGGCTTGAAGAGCCCAGCCATGGGAACCGCCGAACACAAGCTTGCATGATTTAATATGTTGGTCGTCAGCAACTTCATCGAGCCACTCATTCCACACAACTGTTATTTTTTTAATTTCGTCCCGCACGTAAATAGTTGTCTCTTCTGACTCAAATGGCTTGCTAAGAGAATGAATGGCCTCGGCTTTCGGCTTGAGTCGTACAGTTGGAAGAACCATAGAAGGTCCAATATTGGCTGCGAGCTGGACAAAAAAGGTATTATCTTCCTCAGCCGTCTCCAATTGTCTAACTTGGCCTTGCCAAGAATGTCTGTTTACCGTTCCTTCTAACAATGTTAGAAGTTCCCCTAACGAACCAAGAGAATTTTAGCACGCGATCGTGCGGTAATTATGGGATCCGTTATTACTTGAGTAAAGGGTAGCTTGTAGTTTCCATACCTGGAAGAAGTGCCATCATTAGCTCTGCCATCTGAGGGGTATCACATGGTAGTCTAAATGATGTCGGCCTTTTAACTAAAGAGCACCGATAGCATTCTAATCCACGGGTGGATGTCATGTCATGACAGTTACACTTCATGACAGGATATTAGTTCGGTCCCTGGAACTCAATATAGAGCTAAATTCGTACTGGTTTTTTGTAAATTATACATCTCCAGCAACTTGGCCGGGATACCACCCCTTGAAATGGCAGTGTTTCTTCTCGCCGCTCATTGACGCCGTACGGATGAGGTGCCCTATTATTACTGCTTTCGGCGGCCTGCCGATTATTACCTGCATAAAGTGTTGGATTATGCCTAGGAAGGCTCGGGAGGAGTTGAACGGGTTGTGGCAAGGCCATGTTAGTCGCCGACGTTATTCCAAGCTGATTCCAAGGGGGAGATGGGGCGGTCTCGCTTAATTGATTGCACTCCTCAATTAAGTCGCCAGAACTCCCTACTGTGCTGTTAGAGTCGGTGGAGCAGAGAGTAGGTTAGCCATCTATCTTGAATGTATTTAGTCAAGGGAGGAGTGCGGCGTACCAGCGCGCACGGAAACTGTTGTCAAATCTCTCCATGTATTCCATGTAGAGACACCGCGCAAATTAATTCCATCACTTGGGAGCCCGGTATCGCCGGCTTCAATGTGAAGAGGATGTTCATATATGTCATCCGCCTGGTGTTCCTGTGGAAAGCTATCATCGTTTGTGCCTCTGGTAGATCCGTTGGTCAAAGGAGGGAAATCTAGCACGGGCCAATAATGACTGTTCACAAAATCTGAGCAATAGTCATCACCAAGTGTTTCGTTTTCAACGTCTCCAGAGGTTAGGTTATGGTCGCCCGGCTGCTTGTAATCTGGGTTCTCGTCGGAGAGTGACGGGTCCATGATAAAGCCAATTGCCCAGCACTGGCGAGCTAAATATAAATATAGAACTAGTGGGCTGCAATTACTTTATTGGGTGTGTTCTGAAGGCTGTGTACAGATCTTGTGTTATAAAATCTGGAAAGAATGTTTGAGGCCCTCGACATTTCTTGTCAAGTTCGTAGCTTCAATCACACTGACAATGAGACGTCAGGCCTGCGGTCCAATAATTGAGTCGGAACATAATCATGCATAAACCGCTGAGCAATGGTATTGGTTGCATGGTTCTAGCGTTGTTTTCTCGTTTTGCGGTAGTCGGTAATATCAGGTTGTAAGTTGTAGGCCATCTCTGCTATATACACGTACCTTCGAGATTTTCTTGCACTTTTTAATTGCTGTTATTGCTTCTCAACCAAGACAAATAACGTGAAGGGGGCTGTTAGCCACATTGGATATACCCTTGCAGGTGCCAAAGATCTCTCATCGCGAGAAGAGATTCTGGAGTATCTGGGGTATCTGGAAGTACGGCTTGCTTCTTGATAATATGGCATCATCTTGAGTTCCGTTCCGGCTATAGTTGTATTCCTTGAAGGAATAAGATGCTGGCTGGAGTAAGTAATTGCTGTTGATCGAGATATTAGCAGAGAGTACAGAGTAACACTGGTCCGATTGGTATTTCCCAGCAGCTAATATTCCGACCCAGCACAGTAGGTTCCGGGCTTAATCTTCCCAGCTGTTGATTTCACAATTTAAAAAGAGGAGCATATATCTCATGTTACCCCAGGGAGATCTTGACTTATAAGTATTCAAGTAGGTGGCTCTAGGACATAGTTGAGTTGTGACTCACGAGATTGTAAATATATACTGCCGATAAAATGGGACATGTG